GAAAGATTTGTGCAGCACTATGAAGAAATTAAGTTATATGTTGAGAATAAAAATCTGAACAGTTTTGTCAGCTCAGACTGTACATGGCTCAGCACATGGATGTTTTTACAGACCTCTCGGCTCATGTGAATGAAATGAACTTAGTTACAAGGTTTTGGCAAAAGTATTGATGTTATATTTGGATACATTAAAAAAACTAAATTTCAGATTTTCAAATGTGATGTAGGGAACTAAAACCTGTTAAGTATTTTCGATGAATGAAATAACATTTCAAGGTTAGATTGGGTCTGCTAAATGAATTGAAATCTTTGCATATAAGGTATCTGCACATTTTATATTCAGTAATTGACCAGTTTTGGAGGAAGATTTAATCAGTTCAGAAGTTTAGAACAATTAAAATAATTAAATTTCAGGGTGAAGTAATCTACAGTACGATGGAATTAAATGATTTTCAATGGCTAGGAACTGAATGACTAGAGCTGCAGTTAGCAGAATTCCAGGTTAGCATTTGGACGTAGGTGTGTGTCAACCTGAAGTCTTAACTTGAGGATCCGGGGGAAAAAACCATCTGCAGGAATAAAAATTGCCACTAAGAACAAGACATTTTGAATACTTAGAATTGAATACCGGAAACTTTCAGTGCTTTTAAAAATCTAGCAATGGCTTTACTGTACTCACAATTTCTCCTCTACATACTTTGGTAGGACATTAATCTTGGCATTAAACATTAAAACAGGCAAGAGAAACTGAATGACATGAAGTTAGTGCTGCTTGCTTGGGTTTGCACTGCACAAAATATCTACCTTCAATTTTAGACTTATCTACTCAGCAACAAATGTTATTAACTCATGTTAATCAAATTAAATGCGTGTTTGATGTTTTTTCACTTCCAATCAAAATTACTAATAGAAATAATTTTTTAGTGCACTATTCTAAGCCCAATCATCAGGGTGCATATTGTCTCTATTTTAGGTTTTTTCATTATTTTACTTACTGGATTTTATTTTTGTAATTATTTATTGTTTCTTTATGTAATATAGCTCTCAACTTACGATCACAATTAGGACTAGAATTTGTTATTAAGGCAGTGGTTAAATGTGTCTCACCCAATCTTAACAAACTTTTTTGCAGTGGTTGTTAAGCAAATCACCAGTTGTTAAGTGAATTATGAGGTTGTTAAGAGAATCTGGCTTCCCCCATTGTCTTTTCAAAAGCCAGTTGGGAAGATTGCAAACGGTGATGACATGATCCTGGGATGTTGCAACTGTCATAAAGGAGCCACTGTATTCTGAGTGGTTAGAATGCAGCATTGCAGGCAAACTCTGCCCACAGCCTGGAGTTTGATTCTCACCGGCTCACGGTTGACTCAGCCTTCTATCCTTGCGAGGTGGGCAAAATGAGGACCCAGATTGTTGGGGGAAATATATTGACTCTGTAAACTGCCCAGAGAGTGCTGTGAAACACTATGGGTCAGTATATAAGTGCTATTGCTACAAATTGGGGGTCTTCAAACTTGGCCCTTTTATGACTTGTGGACTTCAACTCCCAGAATTCCTCAGCCAGGCATGCTGGCTGAGGAATTCTGGGAGTTGAAGTCCACAAGTCATAAAAGGGCCACGTTTGAAGACCCCTGCTATAAATGCATGCTAGTCGCCAAGCACCCAAATTTCGATCTTGTGTCCTTGGGGATGCTGCAATGGTTTTAAGTGTGAGGACTGGTTTCCCCTTTTTCAGTGTCATAACTTCGAAAAGTTGCTAAATGAATGGTTGTAAGTCAAAGACTGCCTGTACATAATATATGATTGGACTGCCCTTTTTTTAAAAAAAAATGGTTATGTAAAGAATTGTTTTTCTTTTGTCCGTGTGTGTGTGTGTGTGTGTGTGTTTGTGTGTGTGAACCACCAGCAGAGTTAGGCATTTTCTTAATTTTTGATACACTGAGCCCAAAAGGTTCGCCATCACTGTCATATGAAGCTTTCTGTGGAAATTGGGCAGCCCTTTTTGAAAGACAGAAAGCTGAATTCGGCACACCAATTTGATCCGGCCTAGCAACCTTAAAAAGCCAGAAAACTCTTACCATTAAACACATGTTGAACAACTTGGAACAACAGTGCAGTTTTATTACTTTTCAAAGATTACCTTCTTACAGGTACCTGGCAATGTGTTTTAAGTGTGTATTTTTTTAAAAAAAAAATTATTACTTGTACATCAAACACTGCATTCCTTTGGAAACAGGATGGAAGGAAAACTAACATAGGTACGCTAAAAAAAACCCCAGTAATAATAAATCTAGATGTACATTTGCTGGCGGCTGTTTCCACAACCTTAACGTTGTGGGGAGACACACGTTTAAGGGGATGAGAACATGTTCTAACTATGCAAGAAGAAAGGCAGTAAGGAAAGCAATATATGTGTCCTAACAGGAACAAAGAACTGGAGAATTGGTTTCCACCAGGACGCTAAATCAGCAGTGCTGTTGATGGCTTCATTTCATCCGCTTCCTGGGAGAGACATCTCCATTGCTGGTGGCAGATTGCTGGGAAGGAAATGGAAGGCTGGAAGGGGAGGGACATGGCATCTCTTGGCCATTTGAGGAAGTACCACTTGTGTGAATCATGCTAGGGCCCGGGAAATCGTAATACTGTGATTGATACGGAGGGCTGTATGACGTTCTACCCCGAATGTCTTTCATAACCTCCAAGATGCCCTGCAGTACACTGGTCTGGCTGCTTAGCTGCTCCTTCAGAGTTTGATCGCTTGATTCCAAAGCGCTTACAAGCCTTCCAATGTCCTCAGCGCTTTGCTCCATCTCGTCCTTCCGGGCTGCGAGATCCTCCTTGTAAGCACGTTCAAAAGAAGCCACTTCTTTATGGGTGAGGTCGGACAATGTCCGGACAAGTTCACTGGTAGCCTGGGAGGTGACTTCCATCAGCTCTTTCAAAGTATCCCCCCTTCTCTTTCTTTGCCGGCAACGAAGATTCCGCATCCTCTCTGCAGCGGTCAAGGGCCGAGGGCGCAGATTTGGCGCTGCAGGAACAAAGATCAAAACGAGTATTTAATTTTTTTAAAAAAGATGGGGCACTGTGGAGGCAAACATCAGTGTCAGCGGGTATGCTTATAAAAAGGATATCCCTTGTCCTAAGAAATCCAGGTTTTATACCAAGGTTGCCCTGTTTATGTGAAAGGAAGAGCGAGAAACTGGAACTCAGAAGTATTATTGAAATTATGCCGCTGTATATCAACATTTGCTTAGTGCAATCATATTCTGTTATCTGTAGGAGGAAGAGTTAGGCAGAGAATGCACACCCTGCTGCCATGAATGAGGCAGTTCTACTCAAGTCTCTCTTAGGAATTCTGACAGCTGATGATATTTCAAATATCTCAAATACGACATTAAGTCACCTGGCCTTTGTATCCAAACTAACTGAAAAGAAGGCGCTTAGAAATCCAGAGGGCTGAAACAACACATTATACAAAACCCGTTTAAAGACACACGGCAAATCCAAGCAAAACTCACCAGTAACTGAGTCATTGGATGGCAAAGGATCGGTGGGAGTGCCAGGACCAACACTACCATCCATGGAAATATCAGAATTTGCTGCTGGAGACGCCACTTGGTTTTCCATGTTGCCTTCGCTCTGCTGAGATCCTGCTGGCTCGGGCAACAACAGACAGTCCCCGTCTGGCTCTTCAAAAGTCCCTTTGTCGTTCTTGCCTACTGAGGACGGCTCATAGGGGGCATCTTGCGCTTCTCTGTGCTCACGACGCCGGCGGTCCACAGGAGGCCTCGGGTTGCTCCCTGAAAGCCGTGGAACGACCAGATTTTGCTTGATGCAAAGAAATCGATTAAGTTCTTCGAAATAAGGCCACACGCGGCGTCCGTGGCCAGCGTTGCTGTTCCCATCCACTATCTCTTTGAATCCCCGTCGGAGGACCTTTGCACGTTCGCGGCATTGCTCCCAATCCCTGTTGTAACCCCGGGCTCGCATTTCATCCGCTATCCACTGGAACTGTGCAACTGTGCGATAGTTTGATGCCAGGGCACTCTGCACCGCGTCATCACCCCACACCTGGATGAAGGCCCGGGTCTCCTCGTCAGTCCAAACAGGCTGGCGCCTTGATTTAGTGGCAGAGGAAGAGCCCTGCGAGGAAGCCGTCAGTGTGCCGTGATTCGGCATGGGCACGGTCTCTGGAAGGGTATCAGACAACATGGTGTGCTCCAGAGATGACACGGTGCTTATTGGCAGCAGGGAATTTTACAATGGTAGCAGGAAATGTTTTCAATTGATTTGGGCGCAGTAAAAGGAGTGCTAGTGGGGAGGGTGCACCAAAGAAGCTCCTAACGATAGAGTGCGGACAGAGACAGATGGGACACTCTGCCCAATGCACTCTATGGTTTTGCTGGCAAATTCCCCCCCTCACTGACACACTGCATCTCACACTAATGTTACGAGAGACACGCATCTCGCATCTTTGTTCCCACAAGTTGCCTGCAAAGAAAGCACGTGCAACCTCAAGAAAATGATTCAGGGGTCTGCATGTGGGAAAAACAACACACACACAAGAGGTGACAATAGTGCAATGCGCGTGTCTAGCGTAATGTTTGTGAAGCAGTTTTAAGGTTCCATCCCTCCTTAACCTTCACTAGCCTAGCCCCTGACCAAAAATATACTTTTAAGAAAATATTTGTCACTGTTGCATAACATATTCCAATCACAAGGTTTCAGAACAGATTGAGAGACATGGCTGATTTAGTTTCATGGATTGGCATGCAAAACAACAACTACTCACCTGTGTAGCTGCCATCTGTTGAAATGTAGGCCGCTCAAGGAGAAAAGAAAAACGAGACAAAATTAGAGGCAGTCATTTTTAGATGCCTTCACTGCAAGAGGAGTGCATTCATGGAAAANCCCCCCCCCCTATCTACACCCCCACCACATCATAACTACCTGCAAGAGCCAAAAATTGTTTTGGACATTCCCATTACTTTGAGGCAAGAAAAACAGAAACAACAGTGTACAATCGAAAATTCAATGAATAGTCCAAAACCTAGAAAAAATGGAAATTCTTTGCCCTTCTCATCTGCATGCTACACTCTACCTGTTTTGCATCAGCAGCCCAACTCCTGTAGCCCTGGGCTCCCCAAAAGGGTGACTCCTATGAATCCAAAACGATACTCATCTCTGAATTGGAAGAATTAACTGCTGCAGGCACTGCAAAAATCTGGCAGGGATGTGGAAGATGGGTACCATTAGTAGGCAAGGAGCAGAGATCAAACCAAGAGGAATCTTCCTGGCCTTTTCATCTTGAAAACAGGCTGTTTTATTTCTTCCACACTGTTGAGACTCCCCTTTAGAACAGCCTAAAGCCTAAGCATTCCCATCAGATTTTATATTTAAGCAGGGTAATAGCTTTGTGCAAACAGTTTCACTCTTGAAACTACTTCAACAATTTGTCCAGGTTTTGACAAAACTGAATCAAGGTTACAGCATTCTATGGTGCTCCTTTCAATTTTTTCCCAATACAATGTGTAAGTCTATAAAAAAAATTGATTCAGTTCAGTTTCCCATGCCACCCAGATTTCTAAATTAAGACTGTGTTTCGTTTACAAAAGATAACTCAGAGCCCTAGACACAACAGAAAAGACTCAAGAATTCCACAGCAATGGCCATCTTTGCTGTCCTTGAAACAATATTCTCAGGCTCTACTCCAGCCAACTAATGGGCAAGGCAAACCAAGACGGAAAGCTCATACCTGCATAATCAAAGAATGGGATCAGAACCAGAAATCGACAGAAGTGATAAATTTGGGGCAAGAAACTGTGCACTCAAAACCCAGGGCCCAAGCGAGGGTACTGGAAATAGAATATTACCTCAGAACCGTCAGAATATTACCTCAGAACCGTAAATGATGGGAAGTTCAGTGCAATCGCTAATTATGCAACCTCCGGACGAACATAGTTCCTTGAAACCACCTACACAAGCAACCTGACTTGCTCTCAATGTCAAGCAAGCATAACCTCTACTACAACTAGAAGGGATGGCAATGTTATCTGAATGCTGGCACGCCATGAACCACAGGGATCAATATATAATGGCAAGCAATTGCCCAACTATCTAGAAATTTTAAGGGTATGACATCTTGGGTTTTTTGTTGTTGTTGTTCTTAATTATAGCTCTGTGCAAAATTCTCAACAAAACAATCATTTCCCAGATCAGGGTTACTTTTCCAGGCCAAGGCAGCAATCTTAGTAGAACAAAAAACTGACCTCTGAAAAGTGCCTAGATTAGTGTAAATCTGGTCTAAGACATCCAATGGGTCCTTACAGGTTATCCAAAAACTGTAATTCTGGAACTGTATTAATCTTGTGCAGATGCAGAGGCCGATGGGATCTTTAAGAACGCTAAGCAGATTGCACAACAATCTGTTCATGTGGCTTTTTCTTCCTTGAGGAGTCTTTTCTCCCCCCCCCCACACATCCCTAAGACATCTTTCACGTGTTGAGATTATCCAAATGCTTCATTGTTCTTATACTGGATTGCCCAGAAGTGTATATAATATTTAAAATGGATCCAACCAACCCAATACAAAAGTGGAATTTTTACTTCTGTCTGACCCAGGGGTAGGCAACCTTGGCTCTTTTATGACTCAGGAATTCTGGGACTTGAAATCCATGAGTCATAAAAGAGCCAAGGTTGCCCACCCCTGGTCTAACCCTTTGAGCTGGCTTATTCAGGAAATAAGAACATCTTGGTTCTCTTGAAACATCTTCACTGCTAATAAAATAGCAGAATCTTGAAGCCTACTAAAATGTTTCTCCAGATCGACCTAACGCAATTAAGTCAAAGTTACCTGGAGAAGGAAGCAACACCAGACTTCATATTCTCAGCCCCTGCTGGACCTTCCCTCCCAAATTCCTGTATACTCCTACTGAAGCAGCCTATCGTTGCTAATTTTGCAGCCACATCTTACTGCTGTCTCACGTTCAGTTTGCAATTAAATATTTCATAACTTATTCAAAATACAATTGTCACAGAATTTGTTTTTTCCTCCCAGACGTATTTTCCAGTTCCCAGTTTTTTTGGGTACATTACAGAATGAAATGAGAATACGCTCCTTCTGAATGTAAAGAGCCCAAAGAACCCATAAAAAGAAGACCCAGTCACAGCACAGCGGATGCTACACTCAGCTACACTCACTGCATCAGTGTCTAGTTCTTACAAATTTTTTTCTAACGGAAGGGGTAATCTGGTCACAGTGAGGGGTTTCACAACCAGGGTTGTAACAATTTCTAAACAGGTCTTAGCATTCAATATGAATAATACAATGATAGAGAAGAGATCCTTACCCAGCGAAGCCACATCTTCACCATTTTCTTCCATGATCTCACTTGCTAAGGCCTCACCCTGCAAAAGAGAAAGTCAGTTAACCCCCAATGCCCTAGCCACTAAGGCAGCCGTGAAGCCTAGCAGAAAAATTAATCAAGCTTCAACATGAAGAGGAACTCACACCCTTTGATTCAACTGCAAAAGCAGACAACACCGTACTATGGAATGATGCCTCAAAAACCACACAGCTCACTTGGGGATACGCCCCATGAGCATAGGGCATGACTTGGTTGCAACCGACACTGTGTCATGATTGTCAGCAGAGTGGCTGTCTGTTAATGCTGTACCCACAACTAAACACCAATGACTGCTGAACTGGTGTCCCAACTGGCACTTACAAAACCCTGGGCTCTTTCTATGGCTAGCAACACATGTGGAAATGTTGATTACTAAACCCTTGTAAGCGCCCAAAACTTACTCAACGTGAATATGATCGGTAGAATGATAGAACAATTACAAAACAAAATGTAAGATATGTTCAACGTACTTCAAGGGAAACATTGAAAGGACTGGAGGCTAAACAAATGAAGAAGAGTTGCAGGAATTGGGTATGTCTAGTTTAATAAGAAGGACATGATAGCAGTGTTCCAATATCTCATTGGTTGCCACAAAGAAGAGGGAGTCGAGCTATTCTCCAAAGCATCTGAAGGCAGAACAAGAAGCAGCGGATGGAAACTAATCAAGGAAGCAACCTAGAAATAAGAAATTTTCCGACAGTTAGATCTAACTGTTAGAACAAGTGGAATGTCTTGCCTTTGGAAGTTGTGGGGTGCCACACTGGAGGTTTTTAAGAAAAGAGTGGACAACTATTTGTCTGAAATGGTATAGGGTTTCCTGCTTGAGCAAGGGGTTGGACTAGAAGACCTCCGAAGTCCCTTCCAACTCTGTTATTCTGAGAGGCACTACAACAAAGTAATAAAAATATGTCGACAACGACCAATTCCTGTAATTCTCCTAAGCAGATGGCAGCACCAAGATTTCTCAAAAGATTAATGAGAGTCGGACCTTCCTAGACTTGGATGGGAGAAAATACAGGACAGGATACTATACTGAGAAATAGAAAAATAAATCCTGGAAAAAGGCAATGGTAACCTATTTCCCTTATGTTGCTAACAAAACTAAATAAACATACGGATGTAGTTACCAACACATGAGCAAAATGAAGGGAGTTTTTAATCTCTCAATTTAGCACAACACGAAAAAAGCAAAAATAAAGCTGGCTTGCCTATTCTAGTTAGACAAAAGGTGTCTGGTAATTATAGCATCATTGCATGGAATTAGGCACAAAACCATCTTACGTTTGCAATATACAATAATTACCATTCATCAGTCAATAATGCAGAACACCCCCTCTCATTTCCTATGTGAAATCCTGCTGTGAATATCTAGTTTTACTGCTTATTGTTCCTCAACTCTTTTATTGCTGTTTAGAATTATATGATATTCACTCAAGACTGTACCTACTCCTCATTTTTGCACATCTCTACTAGAATTTTATTCTCTGCATTTCCATTACAGTCACTTCTAAACTTAACTTCTATTGTAGGAAGGAGGTTGAGGATAATCTTGAATTTGGATCCAATATACGCTTTTGGACTCAAGTTACTATTCAAGACACTTTTTCCACCTATATTGTTGGGAAGATAACTGTTTTTTCCCTTTCTAAATGTCTAAACATTTCGCCTTTCCTGTGATTATTCCTGCAACAAACTCCCCAGCAGGCAACTTTGGGTCAGCTTTTTTTTGCTCAGCTTCAATCCCCTCAATCTATAATGTAAGCAAAATAAGGTATGTATCGATTAGCTCACTAGTGCAAGATGCTTCTATTATTGCTTCCTAAATGAGTGCCCGATAGTATTGCCTTTCTTTGTACTTTCTGCATGGCTTTGATCTCAGCAGCTTACCACTCCGTTCTCTAGTTCTGCCTTGAGCAAGCGGTTTCTACTCCAGGCCAGCTTATGGCGGCTTCGCCCAGCTTGGCTCCCTTTCTGGGACTTCACATACCGATAGCTCAGCTAACCCAGGCCCCAAACAGTGCTTGCCTGCGCAATCTGGGAACTGTAGTCCAACCCATCAATAAGGCAGAGACGGCTGGGGAAAGCCGGCCTTTCCAGATGCCAAACGGCTCCTCTGCGTACCGTGGGGAGCAAGCCTAACGTCGCTTTTGCAATGCTGACATTTTTCGTTCGTGGAACCAAACACGGGGGGGAAGAAACCCGATGCCAAGGCCGGCGATGATCGCCGCGGTTAGTATGACTCATCGCCCCCCCGGCGGCCCACCTTCCCCGCGCTGGGGAGGAAGAGACGGCGAGGAGCCTCCAAAAGCCGGAAGTGATGGTTGCGGCACAAAAGTGGCCAGCCCACCCAGGGGAGAGGCAGCCGGCCGCCCGAGCCTCCCCTCTTGCCCCGCCGGGGAGGAATCCCCCCCCCGCCCCAGCTCCAGCGGATCCCCGTGGATAGAGCCACCCGTCCTCTTCTCCCCGCGTTGTAGATCGCCAGCCGGGCAGGGGTCTCGAGGGGCGGGGGGGGATCTCATCTCTTCTGGCTGCGCTGCCGCCTCCAGTCCCGCCGGGCCTCCGAGCCCAAGTCCCCTCTAACTCCACCGGCCCGCCTCGACTCCCGCCCCGCGCCCTGACCTCCCCACCCACCCCGCCACCCACCCCGTGCCCTGTGGCTTCTGCAGGGGGGGAAAGTGCCTCTGGGACCCCATAGAAGACCAACCCTCGCTCGCGATCTCCTCCGCCTAATCAGGGGATCGAAGCCTGGCCAATCGGAGCGTGATCCGGCCCCGGGCAGTCGCCTCCTCGGGCGGCCGCAAGGAGAAGTGGCGCCGAGGCCTGACGGGCGGCGAGCAACCCCAATATGGTGGCCGACCAGCTGCAGAGACCGGATGTAGTCGGGGATGGAAGCTTCGGAACAAAGGAAGCGAGAGGAGGCGAGAGAGCGGAGAGGGAGGGGGGGGATCGCTGCTTTTCTCGGCGCAGAGCCCCCTAGTGGTCGCGGCTCGGAAGACACTCCGCTGCCCGAACACGGGTCTCTGGGGGTAGAAGAAGGCCGACTAGTTAAATAAGGCGGGCATGTGTGTAAGCGTGTAGCTCCTGGCTGACCTTGTCTGGGCTTGGAAGCTAAGCAGGTTCCGACTGGATAAATACTAAAACTGAGAGATCATTACAAAATCCCAGGATTAAAATGCTGACCAGTGTTCCTCAAGCTTGGCAACTTTAAGATGTGTGAACTTCAACGCCCAGAATCGCCTAGCCAACGAGCTTACAGCCACAAAAGTATTTAAAAAACAAAAACAAAAATCTGTAAAAATACAGGAAAAAAGCTACAATGAATGTTGCTGTCCTTTTAACGATGAAAGTGCACATAACATAACATGACCTCCGTTTTCCAAGGTCCAGCGAAATAATTCTTTTCTTGCTTTACCCTTTGAATGAATTGTTGCTGGTCTGACCTCTAAGGAGGTTGCTGTTAGGTACCCAAAGGGCTGTCCTGGGCTCCCTCAGATCTTACCTCATGTGACCTGCCACATTCTCATCTGGGATGGATTGGTTTCACCTCCTTCCTGAGAAGATTCTGCAAAAAAGCTTTCTATATAGACATAGTCTGAGGTTGAAACATAGCACAGACATAGCACAGAAGCATTGCTTGAGCAGGGTCTGTAAGATTATCTGGGACGCTACACATCCTCTTCACGACCTGTTTTTCTTGTTACCTTCTGGAAGGAGGCTCCGTGGTATCCGTAGCAGAACATCCAGATTCAGCCATAGTTTCATTCCATACAGCATTAATCTTGCGAACTCTCAAGCTTCCTCCTTCCGTTATATATTCAAGCTGGACAGTATTTAATATTTATTTGTTACGTCTATGTACGTCTATACATATGTCGTACATAGTATGTTTTAGGTGTGTGTCATGTATGTGCTTCACTTTGAGAGTGGGCAACTAAATTTCACTTTTGATGTGTGCCGTTGTACCCACAGTAAAAAAAATGACAATAAAGGTTATCTTATCTTATCTGATCTGATCTGATCTTAAACCAGACACCCAAGACTGTAACAGCTGGACAGTAGAGAGATAACAGAATGAAATTACTCAGGTTGAAAAACAGAAACCAAACACTTAAACACAGATTCTTGACACCATTATTTTTCATTTTCTACAATTCTGAGCGAGGCATCTTCTATTGCAGTGCCCATCAGCAACTATTGGGAAGATGGAGACCTTATTCCCTATCCAACTACTTTCCATAGATTTTAGTTTTTAAAAAAACAATGTTTTTCTATATAAAGGAGAGAGAGAGAGACAGAGAGACAGAAAGAGACCCTCTAGGAGGAAGATGGATGATTATGAAGTTTGATATATAAATAAAATAAAAAAAAAATCAGAGCTACTGGTGTTCCTGACATTTGTATGTGAGAAAGAGCCACTCTTCCTTCTCAGGGACATAGTTCATAAGTCGAAGCTTGCAAGTTGCAGTGCAAGTTACATTCACAAATGCAAAACACTTAAGAATCTGAATTTTATTCATTCAGAATTCCTTCACTCCCACTGACAAAACTGTTGACTGCATTTTTGGTCTTTTTTTCCCCCTCTTCCTATCTGCTGTTTCCCTGTGAAATTACCATCCCTGGTCTGTTTATTAAACTAATGCATTTAATCTTGAAGGCTGGACCGGCCATCAAGTGAGAGATGAAAACAAAACTACAACTCAAAAAACCTTAGAGAATGTTGTGAATGTAGCCAACTCCGAGTTGCTCAACAAACTATAGCTTCAGGTCAGTCCATGAGTTTGTTGATCACAGATAACAAAGAATATTATCTTGGGTGAAATCAAAGTGTCAGCATTCTTCAAACCAACTACTAAACCTCTAATCCAATTAGGAAATAAAATAAAAGAGGGAGGATTCTTTCTGAGAAATCCATCAAGATTTCTAGTAACCGTTGTGGTGGTGGTTGTTTTTAATTCTGTCAGACAAGCAGCTTTGTTATCAATTGTCTTAATACCAGTGTGGCCTGCCTCTAATACTTTCTCCTTCTCTTTCTTCCAGTATTAATCATAGATTCATCAAGCTGGAAGGGGCCTCAGAGGTCATCTTATCCAACCTTCCAATCAGTGCAACACTTGGTAATGCAGTTTGGACCGTTTCTGTTTAAAGACCTCCAGTGAAGGAGAACATACCACTTCATGAGTCGATCTGTTCCACTGATTAATACCTCTACCTATCAGAAGATTTCCCCCTAATATCTAACTTGAATATACTGTACTTTCTTCAAGTTTCAACTCACTGGTTGTGGTCCTGCCCTCTGTCCAATAAAGAACAAGTCTTCCTCAATTTTCTCAATTTTCTAAAGAATTACCTACTCCTTCTAGTGTTATGACATCTGCAAATTTAATAGTCATCCTTTCAACCTCTTCCACCAGGTCATGGGTAAAAACGTTGAATATCATGAGGCCCAGGACAAATCTCTTTTGTGTTCAACTCGGTATCTACCACCAGCTTGATAGGGATCGGTTTATGTGTACTTTCTGAATACAGTCGTTCAGTCAGTCTCAGTTGCCACCTGTACCCTGTATGGATATAATGAGAGATTTTGTTGAAGGCTGTGCTAAGGTCAAGGTACACTATGTTCTGTACAATTAAGGTGGTAAGTCTCCAGGAGATAAAGTCTGCCTGGCCTAACTTGTTATGACAAACCCATGCTGGCTTTTGTTAACTCTTGCATTCCTATCTAAGTACACAAACACACTGTTTAATCATCCGTTCAAGGGCTTTGCCCGAGTACAATGTCAACTGAGAAATCTGTACTTTCCTAGATCATCCTCCTTCCGTTTTTGAAGACTAAGACACTTGCTGTCCTCCAGCCTTCTGGGAACTCACTAATTCTCACTCTAGTATTATTAGTTACAGTTTAAGATAACATAAATATAGCTGCTTGATTGCAGCAAATGTCTGAAATGGTATAGGGTTTCCTGCCTGAGCAGGGGGCTGGACTAGATGACCTCCATGGTCCCTTCCAACTTTACTATCATCATCATCATCATCATCATCATCATCATCATCATCATCATCATCATCATCATCATCATCAATTATTATTATGGATCATCGCACAGTCAGCCAGATGTTCAGACTGGATTTGGCATTTTGTCTACCTATCGAGTCCTTATCCAGGACCTGGGATATTATTATTATTATTATTATTATTATTATTATTATTATTATTATTATTATTATTATTATTATTATTATTATTATTATTATTATGTTTTGCGTGAACATGACTAGACTCCTATTTGAGATTATGTTGTAAAACATGTTGGAACCTAACTCTTTAAGGGAGACTGAAAGGTGAAGAGGGCTAAACTCTGTGTACATGTATTATATTTTTTACAAGAATATGTCCAGGCACTACCAGCGATTTTAATAGCAAATGTTTTGGAGACAGTCTGTCTATTCAACTGTTAACATTCTAAACTGTATCTACTTTTATCTCTGCTAGACTAGAGGAATGGAATGATGGGAGAAGCAAGTAAAATCCATTCAACTAAGTAAGTTAACTCTTTAGAGGATAGAAAAGAAGCTAAGATAAGATACGGTAATATAACCTTTATTGTCATCTTTTTACTGTGGGCACACGGGCACAAATTAAAAATGAAATTCTGTTGCTTGCTCTCAAAAGTGCAAACATAGGACTTTCAAAGGTTGCATGAAGAAAGATGAAGATCCAGGAAAACACTGCAACTCAAAAAGAAAGAAGCATTTGAAGTTGTTTGGGTATTCAAACATCTTGCCACTTGGACAGCTCTACTGGATAAAAGGCAAAAAATTTTATCCAACGATTTTAATTACGTTATGTCTTCAGGTCTAACGTTAAATTTGTACCGACCCCCGACGGACTCTGTCGTCTCCATCTAATTTATATTTATAATGTTCTAGGTTAGACCCAATCAATGGCCCTGGTCTTCAAACAACAATCAACGTTTCAACACAGGCTGGGTAGCGCTGGGGTACCTGTTGCAACCTCCAGGCCTTCCTGTCCTCTACCATCTTCTGGAGTCCATTTAAGCTCACGTCTACTGCTTCAGTGACTCCGTCCAGCCACCTCATTCTCTGTTGTCCTCTTCTTCTATTGCCCTCAATCTTTCCCAGCATTAGGCTCTTCTCCAGTGAGTCCTTCCTTCTCATTAGGTGGCCAAAGTACTTGAGTTTCAACTTCAGGATCTGGTCTTCTAAAGAGGAGTCAGGGTTGATCTCTTCTAGGACTGACCAGTTTGATTGCCTTGCAGTCCAGGGGACTCGCAGGAGTCTTCTCCAGCACCATAGTTCAAAGGCCTCAATTCTTTGGCGCTCAGCCTTTCTTATGGTCCAGCTTTCACAGCCATACATTGCAACTGGGAAAACCATGGCCTTGATTATACGTACTTTTGTTGGCATGCTGATGTCTCTGCTTTTTAGTATGCTTCCTAGATTTGCCATAGCTTTCCTCCCCAGGAGCAAGCGTCTTTTAATTTCTTGGCTGCAGTCCCCATCTGTGGTGATCTTGGAGCCCAGGAAGATAAAATCTGTCACTACCTCTATTTCTTCCCCATCTATTTGCCAGGAACTGAGAGGGCCGGATGCCATGATCTTGGTTTTCTTCATGTTGAGTTTCAAACCAACTTTTGCACTCTCCTTCTTCACCCACATCAAGAGGCTCTTTAGTTCCTCTTCACTTTAGTTCCTCCACTTCACCAGAAGTTTATTTTTCCACAATTATTATATTTAATATTTGCATTTATAAAGCCCTCCAGTCAAGAATTACTTCAGACAAGGCTTTAAGCAAGCATTCCAGTGTTGCTATAACTACAGTGATTATATCTTCTTGGAAAAAATAAAGGTC